TGATAGAATAAGGCCTCCATGTTCAAGATGCATCTGGATTCTTGGGATGTAGTTAAGGAATGAGCCTGGTGCCCTATTGTTGTGTGATGTAAAATTCAAGCTTCAAGTATCTCTTTAATTTACCTTTTTTTCAAATGCGATTTTGTCTGTAAAAGGAGCCGAACAAGAAAGAAATTCAAAACCCATTTGAGGATATACAGCTTGTCCAGCGAACACATTTGTTTTGGTCAAATTTGAGGACAAATGATCTTTTCTGTATTTTTCGGGAACATATCTATTTGCATTGAAAAATAACATTAACTCAAACTGTACACGCATATGTGAAAATAGTTACAAAGCGACATGTATTGATGCGGACGTGACCTCATAACATTCGATCGCAAAATCTACAGGCACAGTTCGATCTCTAAGTACGGATCTATCCAGTCAGCCAATAAAATTAAAGGAAAACTCGGAAGCCTTTCGAGGCATTCAATCTAATAATCATTACATGACTTATCTATATATAACTTTGGGAATACCGACTTCAGACTGTTGTCATATTGGGCTGGTAACCTCCCAAAACCCCTACATCCCATTTCCCCTACAGCTTAAGACAACAAAGTTCACGGTCCATGGCACTGATAATCCCTAGTCTGTTACCTATTTCATACAATGGAACAACCCAAGAAACACGAATAGAATGAGATAAATATTTACTTACGATTACGATATTATTCAAAATTCATAACACATTATAATAAAATGTTCATTTTTCAAAATTCATAATACATTATAATAAAATGTTCATTTTTCAAAATTCATAATACATTATAATAAATTTCATCTCAAATGTTCAGTTCACTCTTTATCCCAGCCTGAGGAGATGGCCAACCGCATCTAGAAACTGCATTGGGGATTTCACCTCTCTATTCAACTCGTCCTTCAGGCGGCAGAGACGGTTCTCCACCTCTCTGTACACTCTCTTCCTGCCTCTTGGAGCTGCTCCAAAGTCGAGCTGTAAAATCTTAGGCAAATTAAGGTATTCTATTTACATGCAGTCTACGTGTGTCTTGAACTATGGGTACGTGTATACACACCTGTGGGGATTCAGGGTAAGAATATACAGTATACTACTGTTATAACGAACTCAAATGGACCACTAATTTTAGTTCGTTATAACCGTAGTTCGTTATAAGCATACATACACCATTTATACAGCAAATGGAAGGGACCAAACATTAAGTTCGTTACAAGCGGGTTCGTTATAAACGTATTTTACTGTATGTCCTCAGCAACCTGTGCTTGAAATAGGAAACTAAATGGGTCGAGTGGTCAGGCTCAGCGACTTGGTTGATGCATTTAGTTAATGGTCAATCAATCTCGGTTATCTACCGAAACCGTGGATTCCATTTGGCGTAAAAGGCAACATAGCAATAAAGATTGCATGGGTCCTGGAAATCAGTGATAACACCAGGTGTCCAGGAGCCTCACTCACACAATCTGCTTAAAGTGAGTGAGTGAGTGAGTATGGTTTTACGCCGCTTTTAGCAATATTCAAGCAATATCACGGCGGGGGACACCAGAAATGGGCTTCACACATTGTACCCATGTCGGGAATCGAACCCGGGTCGTCGGCGTGACGAGCTAACGCTTTAACCACTAGGCTACCCGACCGATCTTAGCGCTACAACTATTGTAAGCCTATGTTAAAGTATGGGAATTACGATCATCTTAGCGCTAAGATCGCTTTGTGCAAGTGGGCCCAGGGGTCCGCGGAAAGTGTAAGCATGTCATGACTCTACCGGTAGCAGCCCCACTCACACAATCTCCTTAAAAAAGTAAGAGGTTTATTTTTGTTAATAGTCGCACACCTGCCGCGGTATGTCCCGAATGCTGCTGCCTGGGCCCCGCTGAGGTGATCGAAACTGCCATGCTTTGTCATAGGCTTATGATCGTCTTACTGCTAAGATCACTTTGTGAAACGGGGCCCATGTTCGCACTGCCAGCATGACTATACCAGGAGTAAGGTTATAGAACTCCTCTCTCTGCAAAGAAAGAAAGGTGAAATGGGGTTTAACGTCGCGTCCAAGATTATTGCACTTATATAGCGACGTGCATGCACGTGTGTGTGTGGCTGCTTGTACTAGTCCGGACGGATGCCGATTTATAATGCTAGCCCACTGACATATCATGCCACAGTTTAACATGAATACCCCACTCAGACACAGTATACTGACTCCGAGCCGACCAGTACTTGTTTTAGCCCCTTAATGCCGAGCGCCAGACAGGGTAACAACAAGTACCATCTTTCAACTGGCTGGGGATCGAACCCAGGACCTTCCGCTCTCCGGGCGGACGCTCTACCATTAGACCACGGAGGCGGTCGCAGAGAAAGAAAGGTAACATGCTAATGACAGTGGCTTGTTAATCAGTGCATGGATCCACGCGAGTGTATCTACACCAGCTGGTCATCATACACCTGCTGGTACCCTGTCCCAGGTCCGCTGTACAACAGCAAAGCCAAATAGTGACTTCTTCTTTTGGGACCTCTACCAACAGGGATACGAATACTGACAACCCTAGATCCAGGAATATGATTCCTGGACTACTTCATCCAGCAGCACCGTATGGTTCTCTGGGTATGTTGTCAAGCCACAAGGATGAGTTTGCACATACACTGGTCAGGTTCTGCCCAATATCCAAATCAGATCTTTTACTCCGACACAGATATGCGTCAAGGTCTGAGAACATCTCCACAAAAGGTCACGTCAGACGAACCCCGAGAAGCTTGACGGCTTGATATTAATGAAGGATGTGTGGTGTGTGGGGGCAATCGGATGTCAGCTTTCCAAAACTAAAGCTTTATTTTTTCCATTCGGAACTTTCGATTTGTACAAATAAAACCCCACAAAGAACACACTCCTTTCCGTAGTCCCTTGGTGCCTTAAACAACCACATTCTACCGTAGTCAACCAATACCATGATTTTTGCACGAGCAGTCATGATCCGAGGTAAAAGCACGTGTATTTTCCCTCTAAAGTATCCTGTTTAACGTGGATGTCAAACGCCGGTTCAGTATTCACACTAGAACAGCATTCGTGACCAACTCGTGTTATTCCGGGACAAGCCGAATAGCGACTCGTGCCCCTCTCATGGCCATTTTTGCGACTAGGTTCCGTCTTAGAGCAAACGGGCATACCTAAAACAATTGTCAACTCGTTGCGTAATGGTTCACATATATTTCCACATATATTATATATATTTCTGATGCAATTTAAAGGACATCGGGACATGCGGAATTATACAGTATGATTGAACACATTTAACTGTGCCTTGGGTATATTTTTAGATGCAAGACATATGTAAAATCAAAATATATTTCTGTGGGATTATTTGACAAAGAACTCGAAATCATACGCGCATTCTGATTGGTTTGTCGTATTTTCGCACATAACATTCATCGAGAGGGGGGCGAGTCTTCTTGCAGGTTACGGAAAGGGGCGAGTGGTGACGAATGGCCCTTGGCATGTTGCAGACCGGTAACTCTGTAATGCCGTAACCAGACAGTTAGGATGTCATCGCACCACCATCACAAGACTTGCACAACGTCATCAACAAACAGAGTCCGTAGCTGATCGACCACGTACTGGCCGACCCAGAGTTACTGTATCTGAAAGATCGCTTTACACAGTTATATAAGATAGATACGCGATAAATCTCAAAGAACAATGAAGCTTGGTTAAATTCACGATAAAACATTGTTTTCATTGGTCTCATTTCTTGAGAGTAGAATATGCGTTCGCCAATTGATGACGTCGTGTAGTGGACGACGTTATTTTTGATAGGGAAGTGTCTTGTTAGTTGTTCCCCACAGATGTAGCTGGGTAACGCAGATAAACGCAGTGGCCGAACGATCGCATCCAAAAGTGGGAGAGATATGACAATCGGTATTAGGAGAAAGTTACAGATGATCTCAACGTGGGAAATACGCCCATCATGGTTTATTCTCCCTGCAGTGTTTTATTGTACGATAAACAAAAACCCGCTCATCGTTTATTTCCTAAATAGTGAGTGAGCAAGTGAGTGAATATGGTTTTACGCCGCTTTTAGCAATATTCCAGCAATATCACGGTGGGGTACACCAGAAATGGGCTTCACACATTGTACCCATGTCGGGAATCGAACCCGGGTCTTCAGCGTGACGAGCGAACGCTTTAACCACTAGGCTACCCGACCGCCCCTCCTAAATAGAGGTCACCCATCTCAGGAGCAGACCTCAAGCAGCAACAAGAACAGCAGCTGTAGTCCAGGGGCCAAGGTAGCAGTATCAGCAGACACGACTCGACGACGTCTCCAACTCCACTGCCGACGTCCACATGTTGGACCAATTTTGACACAATACCGTCAGCGACGTGTACAGCGGGCACGGCGACGTGCCCATCTCGCGACCATCTTTCGCATGCTGGCGGTCGTACACGTTACGCTGATTGCTGTGTCATTCTGGCTAACAGATGGGTAAGGAAGTGTGATGGTTTGGTGAGCTTTCAGCTAAAACCACAGGTCCTCGGGTTCCCATCGGCCGTCAGGCATTCTTCCACACAGAAACTTGTTAACTCGACCGACCAGACGACGTTATACTGCCTGTCAGCACGAAGCTAAACTATGCATATGGAATCCCGTTAACGCACATGTTTTTATACCCATTCTTGGGTTGTGAATGGGTGTCGTACCGGGTTAGCGAAAATCCAATTTTCTCTAGTATCAGTAAAGCGAAAACCCAAGTTGGGGTATTTGTCCTACGAAGGCGAAAATGAGTAATTGCTATAAAAACACCGGATTACCGTAGTTTAGATTAGCGCCCGTGCTGTTGCAAACAGAGGAGAGGAGAGGAGAGGAGAGGAGAGGAGAGGAGAGGAGATTTACTAGAGAGTCGTTTCGTAAAAAAAATAATACAGTTGGATGTTTAAACACAGGAGTGGAGATGATCAGTTTCTTAATTGAACAAACAATTAGTTGATATGGGTTATGATACCGATGGGTTTAGAGGAGAGTCGTTTCTTAAGAATACATACAGTATGTATTTGATGGTATATATAAAGATTGCAACTTATTTATCTATGTCCAAAATGGCTAATGCACAAGTTCGAGTGACCATGGTTGATACCGTGCGAGGTGGTCAGCACTTGTTTTATGAGAGATTCAAGTTTCGTTGTAAGAAAACGGTCCGTGAGAAGAAGTATTGGAACTGCGTTGTTGCTGCCTGCAGAGCGTCGGTGATCACTGAAAACGGCATTCTTCAAGCGGCTTTGCAGGTAAGAAAATAATGCACATGATAATGATGATAATAATCTTAAAGACATAGACTCAAAAGACTTTGCTTATCAAACTATTCAGTTATTTATTTTACTTATTATCATTACTTATTTTTAGATACCACAGGTATTTGTCACATGTATGTATTTGTTTATAGTTAATGTTAGTTAAAATGCAATTATTTAATTGCAGGTGAACCATACCCACCAACCTATCCGATATGAGATGGAAGTGGCATCTTTCAAGACCGAGCTCATCCACTGTGCTAAGACGGAAACAACACCGATTCCAGCCATATACGGAGATGAGAGATACGGACTACAAGAACGATGATGAAGTGCGACGACTGGTGAGAAGAGCCGCAGCCATTCGTCACCACTCGCCCCTTTCCGTAACCTGCAAGAAGACTCGTCCCCCTCTCGATGAATGTTATGTGCGAAAATACGACAAACCAATCAGAATGCGCGTATGATTTCGAGTTCTTTGTCAAATTATCCCTCAGAAATAATTTTTGATTTTACATATGTCTTGCATCTAAAAATATACCCAAGGCACAGTTAAATGTGTTCAATCATACTGTATAATTCCGCATGTCCCGATGTCCTTTAAATTGCATCAGAAATATATATAATATATGGGGAAATATATGTGAACCATTACGCAACGAGTTGACAATTTTTTTAGGTATGCCCGTTTGCGCTAAGACGGAACCTAGTCGCAAAAATGGCCATGAGAGGGGCACGAGTCGCTATTCGGCTTGTCCCGGAATAACACGAGTTGGTCACGAATGGAGCCGCAGCCTTGCCTCTGCTTCCCTTGGACAAGGTCGACGACGTCTGGCTCCAAGCCATCGCTGACAGTCCCGCGGGTCCCGCGGGTCCCAAGGTCGCGGCCTTCATGGACTACGTCGCGACAACGTGGGTGGAAGGACGCCAATTCGGACCTGAGATCTAGAACCATTTTGGTAACCAAGGGCATCGCACTAACAATAACGTCGAGGGGTGGAATCACAAACTCAACAAACTTGCCAGGAAGAGCCATCCGAACATTTTTGAAGTTGTTACGCTATTTCAAAGAGAACAATCCACCACCCCGAAAGAGAAGATGCCGGATGATTGACAACCATCTTCAGGCTCTGAAAGACAATCTCGTCAACAACGTCATCGGCGACGTTGAGTACACAGATCACGTTGGTGACCTGATCCACTTAGAGTGAATGACTTGAACACAACGTGTATGCCAGTGCAACCGCAAATTTATTATAGAATGTATTTATGTATTTACCATTATATTTTAAGATATAAGTTATTGTTGTTTTTGTAGAAATTATAATGTACATCTATGAAATATTAAAGTATTAGAGTTATTAAATTTGTTAAATGTAAAGTACTTTTGTGCAACTATACTATACTTCAGCATCTTATAAATTACTACTGTAATTACGGTATACGCATTTCTGTGTTTTTCTTGTAATTTGAGAGTCCCGGTATAGCAATATCCCGTGTTTACTGTAGCGTGACCAGTCTTACTGTAGCTTCACGAAAGCGAAGAGATTTTAGAGTTGATTATGCTGGGGTTCGCTCTCCCGGCCCAGAACCTGTGAATGCATGGGGCTTGCATAAAAGTCAACTTTTGCATGGAATGCATGCTTTTCTGTAGCAGTTGCGTTTTTGTGACTTGATTCCATACATGTACTACAATATTGAAAACCATACTTTACTTGTTTGAAAAATATACTAAAATATTGATGTCACAGGAACTTTTGTTCTTTCATTCTTTATTGAATGTTGGATTTACGTTTATCAATGTTGGGGTTCTCTGTTACATAAAAAAATCTCGCCCGACTCATTGTTGTTATAGTTTCCATAAAGCGCAGAGTTCGTTCCCCTGTTATATTTTCTATATCGCATTTGTGTCAATGCTTGTGTCTTTATTTTCGCAATTTATAAAATTATATCAGTCTACATATGTAAAATAAAATAAAAGTTTCGCATCAGTTTTTACATCTAAAATCGTGTGGGACGAACGGTTTTAACAATTGAATTTTAACTATACAGCTTAGTATTTATTACCTTAACAAGGAAATACGTGTGCTCAAATAGTTGTATGGTATATTTAATATTTTTCTCGCAAAAGTACTTGTACTTTGTTTCGTTTTAAATACAATTCCTGGGTTATCTATACTATTGAAAGAAATATTTGCTAACAAGTGATTAAAAACTGTCTGTTGAACAATTGCATTCTTTATAAACCGGTGATTAACGGCATATAGATGTAATCCATTAAATATAACAATTTTTTGAAGTTTTGACAGCAAAAGTTAAGCACAGATTTTCGTATCGAAAAATCAAATAAAGAATAGGTTCCCATGCTCGTTCGGTTTTGAAATGTCGTCAAAAAGTAGAATAGTTTGAACATCGTCCAAAATTCACTTTCCAATATATGTTTGAATGAAGTTTACTGATCAGTATATAACATTTTTAATATTTAAGTGTACATCTTCCCGTTTTATGTTAAAAAATATATAGATACTGGAGACCATTCAGACAATAAAATCGTTGTAAAGTATAGGGTCAACGGGAAAATACTAGTAAATGATCCTCGGTAATGCTGTCAAGCCAAACATCATCGAACTACGTTCTGGAATAGATTTGACACATTTACAAAGTATTTCGCTCCTCAGCCAGATTTAAAATGAAATCAGACAAATGATTTTATTAGCTCTACTTAATTTGAAAGGATAGAAAAGGACTCCATTATATATGTGTATGTTCACGTTAACTAGTGGCGTGTTCCAACATAACTTGACAATTCCTAAATTATCTATCTTTGCGAACAACAATTAGTGTCACTTTTAAATTTTGAAAAGAATTATGGATCTAGATAGACCCAGTATACATCACGTAACATCAGACTTGAACGCGCATGTTAAATGCTGAACGCCTGCTGTTCGATCAAAGGTCTCGTCTAGTCATTGTCATTTAAAATATCGTCCCTTATTTTCGTCCTTGACTTTGTAAGCAATGTGTTTACATAAAGTTCGGCGCGCCCGCGAGAGGACCGTTTGAAGGGTAAATAATGAAGTATTTATTTGCACATTATTTCAATTCTAATAGCTATAGTGCGGTAACAATACACTGATTATAATATTTAATGGGTTTGCAAAATGTCTTTGCATAGCACACACGATCTTCCCGAGGCAAGAGAGTTAACTGACTATAAAAGTCCAGTTTCCACCCATGCCGAACTTAGCTGGTATACATTTTGACTGGACTAACGAGTTTATGCTTAGTCCAATCAAAATCGAGCAACGAAATCGAAATCTGGTTCGTAAACTGTCATGCAGATTTCGGTCGATTGCAGGATTTGCAAAGCATTTTTCGCGACGATTTTATTGAAAAAGAAGAAAAATTACTGCTTAATGAAAAAGTACCCTAAATTTAGCTGCTTCCTGCTTATGGGACCAACCCATCAGGACCCTCAGATATGCCCCCAGTGTGCCAAGCTTGTCATACCGGCCAACAAAATACAATAGGTGGCTACAGTTTGTGAACAACAAGGGAATAACAATAACACTGGCAGATCTTATAAAGGTATTTTAGGCCATTTTATTTCCATGGTGCATCAATCCGCATGGCCATGTACAATATGTATTTCAATACACAGGTAATGTAAGGATAATTATCTCGATATGCTAGAATGACAACACAAGGCATGAATTGAAATACAGTTTGAACAAAATGGTGACAAACTGTTTCTTCCTTGTTCATGTTGTTAACTGTCCATCAAAATAAGCAACAAGGAAGTGACAAGGATCCCAAACAGAAATGATTTGCAGAGCTCCAGATAAGCTGCGTATCTGCGTAAAATACGCATCAGAAATGCAGAAATACGCAGTAAAATAAAATCCAAGCGTATCAAATACGCAACGAACATTACAGATACACTACAAAAATATAACTTGTGCGTTTCATCAAAATATTGTGAAATAACCCTGCGTATTCGATTAGCAAATCCGCAACTTATTTTGAAATTATAAACGGGCATTCCGTCAACCTTGCCAAACTCCACGATGACAGTTACATCATGATCATTTGCCATCACACTTTCTTGTGGAAGTATCGTGGTATTTTTTAGTCCTACAAAGCTCTCGAACCCACACGACACCAGTTTGCAGGGACTTGATGATTAGTGTTTTTAAATATTTAACTTAAATACCCACATGTGTAAAAACTAGTGGGTAACAGAAATTTGAATACCCAGATAGAATTACTGATACCCAATGCTTTTAAAATGCATGGGTAAAATACCCACAACACCAAAAGCTTATCTGGAGCTCTGATTTGTATGACAGGGATGTCTTTTCAAGCTCACATTTATCCCTATTTGGATAGGGCTCTTTTGTTGACTAACCCGAATACTCAAGGTAGCCGTTATATGTAACAGTTACTCATAATATGCCTATACAGTAAACTACGGTTATAACGAACACGCTTATAACGAACTACTGTATTACGTTCATTAAGAGAGACATTATTATTGTTGTTATGGTATACGTATCGCAAATGTCAAGCATCTGGACAACAAAACTCCTAATGTATAATAGTTACGGAACAGAAACACGCCGAGGGGGTATTTTACATGATAATTTAACAACTGGGCTGATCCAGCATTTTTAAAAGGGATTTCGTATGGGGCTAGATAGATAGGAAATATAGATAAAAAGATTAGGAATAATACATAAATATGATCTGGAGCACAGGTGTACATAATCGAATAGTTATAAAAAATAATGAGAAAATATGACAAAAAGTATTTACCTTCTTAGTACGTAGTGCATAACCTACATACGCGATTGCATTACTATTAATAAACATTACGTGATTCGACGTAAGTGTTATTTCATATGGCCTCACGAACTGGGATAGGCAGATATACAGCTTTAGGGCAGCGACAAACGCAGTAGCTGGTCATACACCAGGTAACGTATTTAAAACATTGCATGTATATTGTGGTATAGGCATATTATATTATGCTGATATATTTTTGTTTACATTTTACTGACAACGTTTCATCGAAATTTTCTGGCTAATACGTTTCTGTTACAAACTGTCACAGAATTGTGTGCATCAAGTCTTTGAATGACATTTAGGGGTTATATATATGTCAACTTCATTTTTATGAGGGACAACATTTTCGGGGTACATATATGTGCTTACTCCTTCATCAGGTGAGGGGGCGGTCGGGTAGCCTAGTGGTTAAAGCGTTCGCTCGTCACGCCGAAGACCCGGGTTCGATTCCCGACATGGGTACAATGTGTGAAGCCCATTTCTGGTGTCCCCCGCCGTGATATTGCTGGAATATTGCTAAAAGCGGCGTAAAACC